TTCCGCTCAGCTTTCCGAGTAGCCGGAATTACAGGCATGCGCTACCATGCCCGGCTGATTTTTTGATTTATTGTAGAGATGAGGTCTCGCTGCCCAGGCAGGTCTCGAACCCGCGGGCTCAGGCAATCCACTCACCTCAGCCTCCCAAAGGCACGGGATTACAGGCTGAGCCACCGAGCCCGGCTGATTAAATTCTTATAAAAGTAATGTCACCAGACACAAAAGGCATACATACTGTATAATTCCATTTGTATAAAGTTATAAAAAATAGACAGACTAACTTGTGGAGATGGAATCCAGCGTGATGCAGTTGGGGAGGTGGTTGTGAGTAGGAGAGGGCTCTGCTTAGTGTTCATGTTCTTCAATCTATGAACTATTGAGAAAACAGTACAGTATACTGTTAATATTTGACAGTTAAGAGATTTTCTTTTGTGTTGCTATATTTACTTAATAGTCATTGCTTTTTTAACCTTGTTTATTAAGAAAAAATTTAATAACTACTTTAAAAAAACCAAAATGGATAATTTGCCTTGTTTTTTTCTGTGTAAGATGAAAGTTAATTTTACCCTGTGAAAGGACTTGAGTTCTTCCATAAAAAGTACCGTGTAAATTCTAAATACCAATTATGATAATTACATAATTAATAAGAGATAGAATCTATGTTATTAAACTGCTTCTGCATCAGTTTCAGAGATCTACAAATATCTCACTGATTTTAATAAAATTATGCAGCTATTCATTTAGATACTTTATTTTATGTATATAAATTCTTTTTTTAAATTTTTTTTTGAGTTGGCATCTCACTCTGTCACCCAGGCTGAGTGCAGTGGCACAATTATGACTCACCACAGCCTTGAACTCCTGGACTCAAGTGATCCTCCCGCCTCAGCCTCCCTAGTAGCTGGGACTACTATAGATGTGTACCTTTGTGTACATAAATTCTGCTTGGCTGATTTTAGTTACTTCAATTTAAATATTAGGAGATTATACATAGGACCTAATTAAATCTTGTTCTCTGCAGATCCCAGCTTCATAATCTTTTCTCTCATTTTCTTGAACCAAATCAGAATAATCAAGGAAACCTGTTGCTGTGATTTGTGACATCATATTTGTGGTTCTAGTGGTTCATATATTTTTCTTGTCCTGTTGTACATTTTAACTAAACTAAGGAAAACATTTGCATTTTACTTTTCCTCCAATTGCTTATGTTAAAAGGCCTCAGAACCATGAAGAAAAGGGAGTTACTTCTGTGTATAATTCTAGACCTGTGTCCCCTCAAGTAGCTTTCACTGTGCTATATAGTTTTCTAGACATCTGTAATGTTGTGGATACTGTTTTGAAGCTTCTTCCCCAAGTTGAGTAAGTTTCAGAGTTTAGGTTTGTTTTGTTTCTGCTTTTTAGTATGAAATATTTCAAGTTTGTAATAAAAGCAGAGAATAGTATGATGCATCGTGGCCAGATCTCTTTCCCAACTACCACCATCCTGATTATTTATTTATTTGGAGACAGGGTCTCACTATGTTGCCCAGGTTGGAGGGCAGTGGTGCGATCATAGCTCACTGCAGCCTGAACTCCTGTGCTCAAGGAATCCTGCCTTAGCCTCCCCAGTTGCTGGGATTACAAGCATGACCCGCCATACCTGGCCTTGATTATTTACTATTGCACCCATAAACACGTCATTATGCATTTCTAAAATGGAATTCTTTAAAAACAAAACTAAGCACATCACCATATGACTATGAAAAAACATAACACAAATTTCTTCCTTTCAGGAATTCTGATTTGAGTCAGAATCCAAGTAAGAGCTGATTTGAGTCAGAATCCAAGTAAGAGCCATACATTGCAAAAGATTGATAATACTTCAGTGACTTTTAAGTCTGCCTTAGCTTGATCCTCCCCTTTCTCTCCAGTCTATTGGTTGAAAAAATCAGTTTGTTTATCTTATAGAAATTTTCAGTCTGGACTTTACTGCTTGAGTTCTCTTGTGGTTTTAAAACTTATCCTTTTGTATCCTTTATTCATATAAGTTGGTAGTTAGATCTAGAGGACAGATCTGACCAGATTTAGACTTGATTTTTTTTTTTTTGGTAAGTGTGGTTGTTCCCCTCAGTATCCTTTTTTTTTTGAGTCGGTGTCTCACTATGTCGCCCAGGCTGGAGTGCAGTGGCATGCTCACGGCCACCCCAGTATCAACCTGCTGGGCTCCAGCGATCCTTCTGCCTCAGCCTTGCAAGTAGCCAGAACTACAGGCTAATTTTTGATGTATTGTAGAGACGAGATCTTGCCAAGTTGCCCAGGCTGGTCTCGAACCCACGGGCTCAGCCAATTCACTCATCTCAGCCTCTCAGAGTGCTGGGATTACAGGCTGAGCCACAAGCCAAGCCCCCCTCAGTATTCTTAACATAAATATGTATCTCCTGTTAAATTGAATGGGGACAGGTAATACAAATTTTTTAGTAAAAGTGTTTCCAACAATAGTCAGTATTGACTTTCACAGCCAATTGTATGGCCTGAAATATTGGAAATAAAAATCTGTGTTGATAATGACTATGCAAAATCGTGTTTGCTAGAAATCCCAGAGGGCCTTGTATTTTCTGAAAATTGTTTTGATTGTCAGAGTTAATAGTAACTCTTACGAAACAGGCAGGCACATGGTAAACAATGACAGAGCATTAAATTGAGCTGCTCCTCTGATTGTGGCAAGTTCAACAGCAAGTTCAATTTAGCTTTATTTAGTAATGTTGTATAATGTACACTTAAAGCCTTTGGTGTATGAACCTTGACTTTTCTATAAAGGTTATAGAGCAATCTAGGTTGCTCTATAGGTTGAGAACAAGCTAGACCTTTAAATTACAATATTACCTTCCCCTTTTACAACTGTAATTCTATACTGCAAGGTTATCTCATGTCACGGATAAAGTATATGTATAACTCCCTTTTTCTTTCCAGCCAGGACTAAAAGAAGTGGTAGAATCCTGTCGAGGAAAAAATCTATTTTTTTCTACTAATATTGATGATGCCATTAAAGAAGCTGATCTTGTATTTATTTCTGTAAGTATTTTTCTTTGCTGTGTGAATTTTAATGTAGTCCTGTGTCTATAAAAGTTACATTGTACTAATATTAAATCCATTGGCAATCCACAAACTTACTTTGTATTGAGTTGTCCAGTTGAATTTTGGTGTCACTTTGTCCACCAGTTCTCCAAACCCTATAATCATTTCAAGGCATTGAACAAGAAAACTCAAAAGGTCCAACATGAGATCTATAACTAAGAAATGCTGGTAATGTGAGCACATGTCATGATAGTATATGTATTTCATATATATTTCATCTTGTTTGGCAGAGATGAAATGAAGAAGATAGGTTTGCAAATTCACTAGCATCTCCTATTTAAATGAATTATGTCCCAAAAGTCATTTTGGGCATATGTTGATTAGGTTATCAGGTTAGCCCAAGACACTTTCACCTCATAATATGGCTGAACTATTGTACCTTTATGATGAAAAAAACAGAACCAACACTTGGGATTAAATTCTAGTAATCCAGCCATGACTCAGCCTGTAATCCTGCGCTTTGGGAGGCTGAGGTGAGTGGATTGCCTGAACCCGTGGGTTCAAGACCCACCTGGGCAACTTGGCGAGACCTCATCTCTACAATAAATAAAAAAAAAAACTAGCCAGGCATGGTAGCGCACGCCTGTAGTTCCAGCTACTTGGAAGTCTGAAGCAGAAGGATCACCAGAGCCCAGCAGGTCGAGGCTGTGGTGGCAGGGAGTGGCCACTGCACTCCAGTCTGGGCAACAGAGTGAGACTCCAACTCAAAAAAAAAAAAAAAAAAAGGTAATCGAATATTTGAACCAAGACAACTTATGTCTTGCTGTCCAAGTAACTATCTACTTAAATATTCTGTACTTAATGGTATAACTATCACCAGTTGGTAATTGAACTAGGAATATTATATGACTTACGATCTTTATGACCTCAGGAAGTAAAGAGGGAGTCTGTGGTATAAGCTTTGTTAGAGTGCCCCGAGATAAGGGAGAAAAAGACAGGGGTTTCATAGAGGGTAGATACTATTGAATTATGTTTTTGTTTTTGTTTTGAGTCAAGGTCTCACTCTGTTGCACAGACTAGAGCAATAACATGATCACAGCTCATCAGAGCCTTCAACTTGTGGGCTCAAGTAATCCTTCTACCTCAGCCTTCCGAGTAGCTGGGACTGCAGGTATGAGCCACCACACCTGGCTAATTTTTAAAATTTTTTTGTAGAAACGAGGTCTTGCTATATCGTCCAGGCTTGTTTACTGTTAGTGATTGTAAATTGTTGAAGAAAGAGTTGTCTTCTCACTGATGAGACAAAAGCTGTACAGTGAGAATATGTGAACTCCAGAAAAAAGTGGTAATGAAGCCAGTGAGAAAGCTGTGTTAATTCAGTCCCTTCCAGGTGCAGTGGCTCATGCCTGTACTCCCAGCATTTTGGGAGGCAGAGGCGAGAGGATTGATTGAGCCCAGGAGTTCGAGATCAGCCTGGACAACTTGGGGAGATCTCATCTCTGCAATAAATAAAAAAATTAGCCAGGTGTGGTGGCATGAACCTGTGGTTCCAACTATTTTGAAGGCTGAGGCGAAAGGATCACCTGAGGTCAGCAGGTTGAGGCTGCAGTGGATGTGAGCATGCCACTGTACTCCAGCCTGGGCGACAGAGTGAGACTCTGACTCAAAAAAATAATAGAATAGAATAGAACAGATATTTTTTTCAAGCAATGAAGTCCTATCTTAATGTAGTCTGCCACATATAATAGCTGATTTTACCCTTGCCTCTCTGCTAATCCAGCTTGAGCTGCTCTGAGTCTTTTCACGCTGTTATTTTGTATGCCTACTAGGTTTATTTATTCCTGGACAACTTACAGTCTATTACTTAGTTCTCACTCTGTAGATTATTTTTTTTGTTTGCGTGCTGTAAACTTTTTTTTCTCAATAAGCCGATCTTGGTGGCTCAGCCTGTAATCCCGGCACTTTGGGAGGCTGAGGTGAGTGGATTGCCTGAGCCCGTGGGTTCGAGACCTGCCTGGACATGTAGTTCCAGCTACTTGGAAGGCTGAGGCGGAAGGATCGCCGGAGCCCAGCAGGTCAAGGCTGCGGTTGCCGGGAGCGGCCACTGCACTCCAGCCTGAGTGACAAAGTGAGACTCCCACTCAAAAAAAAAAAAAAAAAAGAAAGAAAGCATTTGTGAATGATACTGCAAATATTTTTTTAAAAGCTGCTGATGTCACGCTACAAGAAAGAGGAATAAGAAGGGGATGTAAAGTTTACTTTTAAAGACTGTGATAATAAATTACAGTAAAGGAAGGGAAAAGGAGCAGCTTATATTTCATTTCAGATTGTGAAGTACTTTAGGATGAGAAATGTCTCATGCATTTATTTCTCCAGGGCTTAGCTTAAAGTCTGCCTGTCTTGGTATCTGGCACATATATTATAATAGCTTCTCAACAAAAAGTTAGTGATTGAGTTCTCCAGATGCTTCAAGCTGTTTCCTCTGGTGATTATATTTATAAAGTGTGTTATATCCATGAAACTAGTAGAGGATTGGGTCATGGCTAGTGATGATGGTTAACTTCCCACTTGGCAGTTGATTGACAGTTCAGGGTATACCTTGAAATGACTGTCTCACAGGGCCTCTGTTCTTTATCCCACATGCTTTCATCAGGTAAATACTCCAACAAAAACCTACGGAATGGGCAAAGGCCGGGCAGCAGATCTGAAGTATATTGAAGCTTGTGCTAGACGCATTGTGCAAAACTCAAATGGGTACAAAATTGTGACTGAAAAAAGCACAGTTCCAGTACGGGCCGCAGAAAGTATCCGTCGCATATTTGATGCGAACACAAAACCCAACTTGAATTTACAGGTACAAAAAAAATGAAGCATTAGAATCTGGTTATTCTTATGTAAATATCAATGCCTTAAAATTGCCCATCATTAATTCTAGCTTACAACTCCTTTGCATTGGAATTCTAGGTGCTGTCCAACCCGGAGTTCTTGGCCGAGGGAACGGCCATCAAGGACCTAAAGAACCCAGACAGAGTACTGATTGGAGGGGATGAAACTCCAGAGGGCCAGAGAGCTGTGCAGGCACTGTGTGCCGTGTACGAGCACTGGGTTCCCAGAGAGAAGATCCTCACCACAAATACTTGGTCTTCAGAGCTTTCCAAACTGGTCAGTGTAGAGCACTGAGCTCTCCATTAACTTTAAAGCCAAGTGTTTGTTTCCCTTACACCTGATGAGCTACATAGATACTTTCTAATATGATATAAGTTTATGCTTTTGGAGATAATATTCTGCACATACAGATTATGAAATATTACCATAAGGGGAATCAACTATCAGGGTATAAAATATTCTTGAAGATTCTAAATTTTTTTTTTTTTTGAGTTGGAGTCTCACTTTGGCGCCCAGGCTGGAGTGCAATGGCACGCTCACTGTCACCACAACCTCGACCTGCTAGGCTCAGGTAATCCTTCCACTTCAGCCTTCCAAGTAGCTGGGACTACAGGTACATGCCACCACACCCAGCTAATTTTTTGATTTACTGTAGCGATGAGGTCTCGCCAAGTTGCCTAGGCTGGTCTCGAACCCGTGTGCTCAGGCAGTCCTCTCACCTTGGCCTCCCAAAGTTCTGGGATTATGGGCATGAGCCACTGCACTCGGCCAGATTCTAAGTTTTAAAAATTTTTTTTGAGTTGGAGTCTCTGTTGCCCAGGCTGGAGTGCAGTGACACGCTTACGGCCACTGCAGCCTCACCCTGCTGGGCTCAGGTGATCCTTCTGCCTCAGCCTTCCAAGAAGTTGAAACTACAGTCATGTGCCACCACACCTGGCTAATTTGTTTGATTTATTGTAGAGATGAGGTCTTGCCAAGTTGCCCAAGCTGGTCTCAAAGCCCTGGGCTCAGGCAATCCTCTTGCCTTTGCCTTCCAAAGTGCTGGGGTTATAGGTGTGAGCCACTACACCTGGCCAAAATTCTAAAATTTTAATAAAATATAATATAACATGGAAAGTATATTAAAATGGTTTTTAAAAAATGGTTTTTATCACTCTTTCCCTCCCTTTACCCCTTTTCTTTGTTATCTGTCTTCTCTCATTTGAAACATCTTCCCTTCCCAACCCATTGTTGACGCCTCAAATTAAGCCATACCGTCTTTTGTATGTCCCTCAGTAATTTGCAACAACTCAGTGAAATATAATCCAGATGCATAAAACTACTGTATTAGCTCATCATACTTCCCACATCTTTTTTTTTAAGGCAGCAAATGCTTTTCTTGCCCAGAGAATCAGCAGCATCAACTCCATAAGTGCCCTGTGTGAAGCAACAGGAGCTGACGTCGAAGAGGTGGCAACAGCCATTGGAATGGACCAGAGGATTGGAAATAAGTTTTTAAAAGCCAGTGTTGGTAAATTAACATTTTCCTCGACATAAAATGGGTTCATTTAGCTAGCTCTCTAAGGAAGTCTTTTTTAAAACCTAACATCCTTTTTAAAAAAAGGTATTGGTTTTCAACCTGGCAAGGGCTTTTTTTTTTCTTTTTTGAGTCAGAGTCTCATGTGTTGCCCAGGCTAGAGTGCCGTGGTATGCTCACAGCCACTGCACCCTCTACCTGCTGGGCTCAGGTGATTCTTTCACCTCAGCCTTCCAAGTAGCTGGAACCATGGGCGTGTACCACAACACCCAGCTAATTTTTTTTGACTCATTGTAGA